CTGCCACGTCAGCTTTTTTGACGGTCTTTTGGATGGCGTTAATGGTAAGGGGAAAGTGGAACACAAGTTAAGTGGGTCATTTTAACTTTGGGGGGTTAAGTGAGATTTGACTGAAGTTTTAGGGGGTGCTACAGTAAATAAGCCTTTAAAATATGTGTCCAGTACCATTATTATCTATTACTTTTTAAATTTAATACTTTAATTCGAAAAAACATTTTCACGAGTGGCTTAGTTGCTTTTTCACCCGCTATGAGTTGATGAGCTCAGGTCTTATATTCTTCAACGTGCAAGCTCAGTTTTTCATCCCTAAATCAACGTTTTTTCCTAGGAAAAAGATTTACATAAATCTATCTCTATAGGTGTAGAGTAGAAATTTCATTCCAATATAACGAGTATAATACTACCGTAATATTCTATAATTTCTCTCAATATAAACCCACTAATGATAGCAACTCATGTTCCCACGCCATCAAGCAATATAAAAGAGCATTGTTTTATGGTTCTTTTCTTTGTCAACTTTATAACCCAAACTAATCCACCATTTAAAATAAATATTATATCTAAAAAAGTATATAAAAAAAAACTACTCAATATATATAATATTTTAAAAATATAATCAACCAGATTAAGATATGTAATAACACAAGTATAATACAACTTAATAACTTATATCATACAAACATACGTATACTTAAGAATGTAAAGAAAGAGACTGGCCCCAAGCCACTCCCCAAAGAGCATTGAATCTGATCGACCTACAAAACAAGAAGATGAAAAAGAAGAAGACCATGAGGAGAAGCCCTATATTCTCCATCTGCCAGACCACATAATAGTGGAGATCTCTTCTGCAAAATCCCAACAAAAAGGCTCATACAATTCCGGTGCGTGTGCAAGTCTTGGCGCTGCTTGCTCTCCGATCCCCAGTTCACCAAAGACTTGTTTTCTCGAACTCCTGCTTGCTTTCTTATCCAAGGCGGCTTATCCCGCATTAAGGACCAAAATTCCCAAACTGTCAGTGTAAACAACATCGTGGGTTCATGCAACGGCATCATCTGCGTATTAGAAAAGCAAAGGGGATTGCCGAGTCTTTCCATATCCAATCCCATTACTCGGGAGTCTTTACCTCTTCCAATACACCCTGTGCATAAGCAAATTGGTTTCACAAGGCTTTGGGGGTTTGGGTATTATCCCATGCGTGATGTCTATAAAGTGGTTCTGATTCAGATTGCAAATGACTGGTCTAAGAAACCGGAAGTAACAGTTATGACGATTGGTTCTGGTATTTGGAGGGGCATTGGGAATTATGCATACCATATTGCATACCATTTTGCGGATCAGCCATATGGGGTTTATCTTAATGGATTTCTTCATTGGATTGGTTACAGCGGGGATGTTGAATTATAAGTGCTTAAGTTGATTTCAGGATTAGGAGTTTTGTTTTCAGCTTAGTTGTATTTCTTTATACTTAGTCCAGGTGTCATAGCTTGATTGGTTAGATAGTGAATGGCTGAGATTGCTTAGATGAATTGCATCCAGCTGGTACTGTGCTAACGATTATATTCTTCTCACACCAAGAGTGTGATATATTGTACTGAACACTGAGTAATGAGAATGTTCTCTCTGCTACACGTATAGCAGAGCAGCCTTGGATTTCATCAGACTCTCTCTCTCTTCTCTCTTCTCTCCAAATCATATTCTAAGATCCTAAAACTCTAACAGGGGAGAGCCCCGGTTTCATATGTGCTCTTGACTTGGAATGTGAGTGTTTCCAACCAATTCCACTACCGCCTGGTTGTTGTTTGAGTTGGACAGCGCCTCCTAGTTTCGAGCTTGGAGTCTTGAAAGGTCGGCTCTCTGTAACTGTTCAGATGCTTAATATTATGATTGTTTGGGTGATGAAGGATTATGGCGTTAAAGAGTCTTGGACTCCAGAGCTTAGGATTATTATCCACGGCCTGTTTTTTTGGTCTCTATCTTTTCCTCAAGTGTTGAATCTTACAGAGGAAGGGGAAGTGTTGTTGTTAGATAAGTCTGACTTGCACGTTTTTGCAAGTAGAACAAAGGGATTTGTGAGGGTTGAGATTGATAGGGTTCCTTTGGTGGGTCATGCAAATGTCCATATTCCAAGCTTAGTTTCTCTTAAGGATGTTATAAAGGGTTAGTGGATGGTAATATCATGTGTCATATAGCTAGTTTCAAGCACTTGATTTTCAAGTTATGTTCGTTTGGGGGGTTATTTTTCTTACTGATATGATGCTTAATTACTACGTTTTACTTTCGCCAATTAGTTGCAAATAATCCTTGGTGTTAATTTGCATCCGTTCAAATTTCGATTGCTTTTATGTTCGTACGTATATATATACATATATAATTTATCTAGAATCTAGATATAAGTTTAGTCGTTCATTGGATGCATGTTGCAGTTGGGAGGCTTAGTTGATTTAGGTGGTAAACCCCTTCATGTTTCTATTTTTGTGATTTTTAAAAATGAAGAGCTAAAATGAAACAAATTGGCTATATTTCCGTTAGTATCTTTTTCGGTTCAACTACATAAATCTACCCAAATTTTTTGGTCATTTTCCGATTAGCTATGAACCTCTCAACATTTTCAAACTCATACATGAACTCTTGAAAAACCTACATATATATTCAACACTGTTAGCCAATCCAGTATTAAATGTTAAGTACATACATGGGTCCCACATTTCACTCTTAGGGCCCATTTAAGACTGCTTCAAGAGGCAATACTCTTGCTCATAATTTGTTGGTTTTATTTGAAGCACTATTGATAGAGCATCTTCAACCGATATGTCAAATTGCCACAGACATAAAATGACAAAAATTGAAGGTTAAAGTTACTCCAACCGAATAGTCAAATCTTACAAGGATTTGAAGGTCAGAAGAAATATGTCAAAAATAACATATCAAAAAGCTTAATGTCAAATATTATTTTAATTAATATATTTTTAGTCATAGACCGCACTATCATTTACTCTCTTTTAAAACTTATCATATGAGCCCCATTTGCTTTTAAAAATATAATAAAATAATATGATATTTGGCAATCCAGGTGGAGTTAAATTTTTCCAAAGTGTCAAACTGCATAAGCCATCAAATTCAAATTTAACATTTTGCATTTGACATCTCCCTTGGAGATGCTATTAGAAGCAGCTCCATGTACTTCTCTACAAACAGCTTTTATGACCCATAAGAACTTTTAAATTGTTCTATCAAACGCAGTCAAAAGTGGTTTTGGTTGTTATAAATAGGTTTTCGTCATTCCAGAAGTACTCCTAAACTTTCATTGCACTTTATTTTCCTACAAATATGGGAAATTTACATAAATACCACATAAACTTTTAGGCATGTGTGCCATTACCACCTAAACTTTTTATTTTTATTTTTATTTTTAACCACCTAAACTTTATAAAGTATTGCAATTCACCACCTAAACTTTATAAAGTATTGCAATTCACCACCTATATATAACTCTGTTAAAGTTTCCATTAAGTCAAGTGAATTTTTAAGGGCATTTTTTTCAATTTCACTATAACTAAAACACACAAAATTTAAACATTAAAAAAAAAATTAAAGGAAAAAAAGGGAGCTGACCTAATTATCCCACGACCTCCACCACCCCTTTCCAACACCAATTCTACCGCATTGTTCCATATCTCTCTTCCACTTGATCTCATACTGCAATGGTCGTATCATTGAATCAGTTGCCTTCGTGAAATTGTTGGATTGCACTATTGAGCGACAGCTATTGAGCGAATAAAAAAAAAATTCACATCTATAGCTAGAATTTGAATTTTATTATAGTTGTACTAGATATTCCAAAAACGGTGTAAACATCTGCAATTGGAGAGGGTGATCGAAGGGTTTAGTGGGGACGAAAAGGTTTTGGAATGGCTTGGGAAGTAATGGGATCTTATCTTGACTTTTATTTATTTATTTTTAAATTCTATTTGTTCATTTTTAAATTGAGTTTTGTACACTAACACCCCTTGAAGTTTCTTATATTTTCACAAAATCCCATCAGGTCTCAAACATTACAGAACACCCAATGAGATTTCAATTTGTTTCACAAAACCCTTTTTCGTTGATTGTTTGTCAAAAAAATTGATGATTTCATTGAAAACAAACTTATGCAAATGAAAAAATAAACTCAATGAAGTATATGGAATCTAATTTCAAAGGTTAACTTTGTCATTTGGAGAATATTTTTTGTATGAAATCATCAATCTTTGGAGGAAAAATAAATGAAAATGAGTTTTGTGAAAACAATTAAAACCTCACGGGGTGTTCGTGTAATTACTAAAGCCTCAAAGAGTTTTGTGAAAAAGCCAAAAACGTCAGTGAGTGGTAGTGTAAATAACTCTTTTTAAATTTTTAGTTATGGTATTTGAAAAGCTTTTTCCATTCAAAATAAAAATGATGGAAATGCCCTTAAATAAAATATCACATATGCAGTATATGACTTGATTTAATAGAAATTTTAACGGAGTTAGACATAGGTGGCGAATTGCAATACTTTACAAAGTTTAAGCAGTTAAAAATTAAAATTAAAAGTTTAGGTGGTAATTATATACGTGCCTAAAAGTTCATGTGGCATTTGTGCAAATTTCCCTATATTTTATCTAGAGATAAAGGTCAGTCCTTTCCGTGGATGAATGTTGCAAGAGGGAAGCACCTAGTTGTTATTTTGTCCTTGACAAGAGTATCTAGACCAAAGATATTGGATGCCCAAAGATACTATTCGGATGTTATGGCAGATTGTTTAATAAAAATGGGTTTTGGTTGTTCAAATTAAAGTGCACCAACTTTTGCCTCTTGAACAAATTTTTGTAGTATTTTGTGATGTTAATTTGGGCGTTAGTGTGTTTGTAATTGTGGAATGGGTCTTGTGTGCACCTAAAAAACCCCTGCTTTTGTGTTTCGATCCACTTTGCAAAAGCCCGAAAAATATAAACCAGACCTGTTTTTTCTGTTCCATTGAATTACAAGAGCCCAAAATGAAATTTTATTATATGAAACAGATCTTAAAACATCACCAAAATCTCACAAAGAAAGAAAGAAAAGATTTCTTTTATTATTTAACATCAATATTTTACATATAAAATAATCCCCTTCAATGTCTGCACTCAACTGGAGGGCCTTGTGGGAAGCGTTTTAAGTCGGTGCAATAGTTGTAAATCATGAAATATTTCTGAACCCATCTGAGACGTCTTCTGCTGGGAGCATCAAGCGCATTGGTATGCCACTCAGCGAAGGAGTTGGATGTTTTCGATTCTATGACATTAAAATTCCTGTAGTATGCTGTAAACGGCGCCTTTGACCAGTCCGTTTTGACCAAGCCTCCTCTGGTGGCCCAGTCGTCGGCGTTCCAGAGGCTTGAGTAAATCCTCATGGGTTGGCTCTTAGGGAATGGGACACCAACTGATTCGGCGTTGTTGAATACTCTAATGGGAATGTTGTCAACCAAGAAGCTGCAAGTAGAGAAGCAATTAACCCAATTAAAACCCAATCTATCTACTTATTATAATTCTGGATATGAGTTATACTTTTGGTGAAACAATTAAAACCCCTAAACCTAATCTTCAATTGTTAACCTGGTCTATTTTTAAGACCGGAATCCGACATCGCAACATGCACGAGACAAATTTGACTTTAGAAATTAACTGGTTAACGAAAATTGAAAACATTTGCAACTACATAATTGAAATTGTCAAAATTGAAGTTCAACTTTTGTTGTTTCGATTTCAAAACTTAACGAATTCCTTTTTTATGTTATATGTTGTGTGAATGGGAACAACGAGAGTCGAACTTTTGACGGGCTGAAAACCTCCAATATATGTTAAAAATGGTATGGAGGGTAAACCAATAAGTATAAATGTTAGTGAACTTATGAATGGATTAACAGTTATTTCTTACATTATATGTTGGGGTTTCCAGATGACGGAGTAGGTGTGAAAGTTTCTTGAGGGATTAAACCAGAGATAGAATTGTTGCTCTCTGTTTCCCTTGCCCTGAGTGAAAACATTGGTGTGCAAAACGTAAGGATCGCCACTGAGATTTCCCAAGAACTCGAAGTCGATTTCGTCGTGGGTAGGGCCTTGAGAGGACAACTACATGAAAACGAACACAAACACAAACAGTTGATTAAAATTCTTGTCTGCATACAGTAAAACAAGAGATCTTTTTGTTGCCTCACTATCATGCAAGGGGAAAAGGGTTAATAATTATGCATGCAAATATGTAGTTGAAAACGAACTTTTTAACCTCGAGTGAATTTTGACTTATAGGAAGCCAAATGGCTCTCTCGTGAATGTATAGTAACTTTTTTTTTTTTTTTTAATAAAAAAAAATTACAGAATTTATCCACAAACTTGAACTTCTTTTTTCTGTCTCTTTCCTTTGAAGATGTTTCAATACGACGAGCATAATAATTCAAGTGGGCCATTAGAATTCATGTCAAGCTACATATACGTAGAAAAATGTGTGACTTTATCCAAAAGAAAAAATAAAATAAGACCGAACTTTTTTTATGGGTCCCACGTAACATGGACCCCACCATGTCACATAAGAGAGGTGGAAAATTAAAAAATTGAGTTATATAAGATATAAAAATAAAAAAAAATAAAAAAGGGAAAATGTGCAAGTTTCTTGTTTCTTTTTCTTTTTCTAGTATGAGTGTATGAGTATTAAGACATACGTAATATGCAGTGACGGTGCCAGCAGAGTTGCCAGGAACAAGCTTAAGCTGCATATCAATCCTCCCAAATAGGTACTCTTTCTTGGACTGAAACCCAGAGCCAGAAACTTTGTCCAAGGATAGAGACAGAAGTTGGCCTCCCTTGAATATTTTGGGTCGGTTACCTCCCCATGTTAGGTCAAAATCTTGATAAAAGTTTCCAGCATAAGTTGCTACCATTAAAGAGCTGAAAACTAATCCCACCAACAAAAGCAAACTCAACCCATTACTAGAAATCCCCATTTTTGCACAGAGAGAGAGAGAGAGAGAGAGAGATGGTTTGTGATTGTGTGATAGGGTTTTGGAAAGAGGTGTATTTATATAGGAAGGAAGAGAGCCAGGTTGTTGTGTGAAGGAGGTAATGGTAGGGGTGGGGCACTTGTGAGCAATATTAACTGGAGGAGCCAAACACAAAAGGAGAAGCCAGCTAAGCACAAAATGAAAGCTGGAAACTTTTGTTTGGGCATGAAGGGAGAGGCTTTAGATTTTTTGGGTTTGTTTTTGGCTGTAGCTAAAGCTTAGCTATTAAAATGATGAATTTGTCCCCAGGATGCATGATGGCTGATTGGTAGGACCTCATCTCTTTTGGTATGATTTAAATTTTGGTGGTGGATGACAACTTGGTGTGGTATGGGAGAATAAAGTTTCCCTAATGTTCTTTGGGACCATCAATCGTGTCTTTGGGAGAGGGAGGGAAGGCTTTCCCATTAGGAATTTGACAGTTGGCAAAATAATATCTGAGTCACCAGCTTCTGTGTCATGAGTGTTTAAAGGACATGGCTTGATTTTTTGAAACAAGGGTTTTGATTTCAAGCGGCTGTATTTCAATTCACAAAGGGCATCAGTTCAGAAATTGGTTAAAAATTCAATTGTCTTCGGCTGTTTACAGCATATATATAGGTTTGGTTTTTATGAGCTGCAAGCTTGATTTGTTTTTATTAGGTGCTTGAAAGTGATCTCAGACCTAATGGTCACTGGTACATACCATCTCAGCAATTATTGATTCCCAAATCCATATATATCATTTCTAATTTCTCTCTATTTTCTTACAAACACCATTGTATTTTTAAGTGCTATTTTTAATGATTTTGATTTATTGATCAGTTATTGTAAGTTCGAACTTTTATAACACTTTGATAATGCGTGTGAGAAAAACTCCCTCTATATTTTATTAGCATCCTCACTCTCTCTCTCTCTCACTCAAAACAACCCATCATGGTGGCCATGGTCTGTCAAAGGAAAGGAGAAGGGCAATTTTTCTTTTTTCCTTTAAAAAAAAATTAGGGATGGATAAGGGTGAAATTGGGTTCATAGTACATGAGAAAAATTGAAGGTTTTGAGACCTACTACACCTCAGAGGTGGCAATAAAGCCATCCATTCCAAAGTTGATGGTCCAACATTTGGCAGGGAAAAATCTCCCAAGGGGTCCCTGGAACTGTGGGGACTTTGTATCGGTATTATCACATATTCCAAAGCAGCATGGATACTTGGTTATAAAACTTCACATTTTAAAGTTCTACTTCAATTATAGCATTCTCTTACACTTGGCAACCTGTTGTGTTTTAATGTACGTACTAGTTTGTGTTCCTTTTGTGAAAAATAATCCCAATCGGGCAATAAAGCCAATCGATCCAGAAAGAACGTGTTTGAAACTTAATAACGTTCAGATCAATTCAGTTAAATTGCGCTTGATCGCATCAACTTAGTCGCTCGAGCTATAAGCCACAATGCAATGGATTATTATAAATTTATATGACATGAGGACCTTGCTAAAGGCCAAGAAATAAGAAACTATGATGGTGGTGGTGACAATAAGTGAATTAATATCATTGACAATTCTCTAGCATATATTACAGGCATCTATAAATGCCCTAGTGCTGGATGCAATAATATTATTCTGAGGACTGATTAGCTGTTAAACATGATTCATGTCTAATATAATTAACCTTGTTCTCTCACTTTGCAACTTGTAGTAGGAAGAGCGAGAAAAGTAGGCTAGTAAAGATGCCTATTCATTTCTTAACCTTTATGATATCTCTCCTCCTTTTTTCCTCCTTTCTTGATAGAGATATCTCTCCTTCCTCTTAACATGAGCTAGCTAGACCATACAAAAGAAGCAATTCTATTCTTATTCAAACATTTAATTCCGTTGGCAAAGTGACTTTGGCTTCTTCAAATTAAATGACATGCATATAGAGTGATGAGTTTGGTAATTCATTTTTTGGCAAATAATACTCTTTTTCTCTTTTTTAACAAACGATAAGATATATATAATGTATGTTTTATAATGGATGCACCCAAACAACGGATCAATACACCCACAAGAAAGTTATACCACAATTAGGTATCGAACTCATCACAATATATATCGTTTTCGCCATCCATCTTAGTCGAAGCTGAGATTTCCTCCAACTAACTGGCGACAAATACCACTAAATCAAATACTATTTAATCAATAATACTCAACTCAGCTAATGTGTATACATATAATATATGTATGAGAAGGACAATGGCTCAAAATGGTTAAAGCTAGCTGTTAGGACTATTGAATGGACTGAGCTGGTGATAGATACATTGCTGTTCTCTTTGTTAGTAATTAATTATTTCACCAAGAAAAAGGAACTCCAGCTCAAGCTTATTAAAGTATGCAAGACACACTTTGGGGTAACATCAAGGCCTTCCCTTGCCTCATTGAAGCTAATGATTACCTTACAACAAATCTTGGCTTTATTTGGAGTAAATTGCATATAAATAAGTTATGGAAATTTAGGTTGCCCCCATTATATAGGCAAGTTTGATGATTAATGCTTGACAAATTAGAGCTCTTAAAACCATTTGTGCACCACCATAGATGATCTACTGTGAATTATTTTAATGTTTAGTTTTCAGTTTTATGTGAAACTTGGAAATTGATATATATATATATATATATTTTGACGTCAAATTGTGAATTTGAGATCGAGCAACCGGATCCAAGTTGGAAAGTCCCAAATACCAAATTTTGATAACTATAGTGCATTTCATGTGTCGTGATGTAAAATTAATGAATGAAATAGGAGCGCAAAAGAAATTAAAAATAGAAAACACTTTCAAATTGTTTTTAAAAATAAGGGTGATTTTGAAAACTAGATTTCACTTTTTTGAAAATTGAAAATGAAAATTGTTACTAAACATGTTTTCAGTTTTTTTTTTAAAAAAAAAAATTGAAAATGAAATGGTTATCAAACAATAACAAAACCAACTTTAATCATTTAATTATGGTAGGTTATTAGTATAATTATACCATTACTCTATGTGTTTACTTTAATCATTTAATCTAATCATTTAATTATACTACATTTCTACTACCAAATATTTTAAAGCATTTGTTCATTTTGCAATTATATTGGTGTGTAGTTGTCATATGTGCATATATTTAGTATATTATTGGCTGGCAAACTCAACAAAATATTTGGGAGGCATGTTTCATACTTGGTGTTATGAACCCAAAACTAAATTCTTTTAAATTGGGACAAATCTCACCTTTTTTTCAACAAATATGGAGGTGCCAATAAAATTCTGGAATGTTCAACGGAGAGATGAATAGGTTAAGAGCCACAGGGGCTCCACCAACCGAATTAGTCATGAGCAAAGAGAGGGTAGAGCGGCGGTGCGTAGTTGTTAGTATTTATTAGGAGTGGAGTGGGGGCATATGATTCACGAAGATTTGTTTGTCAAAAGAAATTCTTTATTTTTTCGAAAAAAATAAAGAGAGATTCCCTTTGTAATTGGGATTCTCACATTCGACGCGTGATTTTTTTTCTTCCAATGATTTGAAACAGCCATCGCCATCACTCCATCACTCCATCACCTAACTACTCTAATTATTAAGCACTTTGAACGACCACTTTCAAACTCCTATTCTCCAATAACAATAATACAAGAAGAATAATAGTAGGCAATCGACTTTGACATATTATCTGATTCTCATAATAAAAAATTGTATTTACACATAAATCTGCGTAACTAACACGTTTAATTCATAGTTTGTAATTATAAATAGTATATCCGATTGTCACATGAAGATAAAATGACAAGAATTAGACGGACGGATTCCCTCGTGTTCAGAGCTGGCCTAATCCATGATTGGAGGTGCAACCGCCGTGAGCCTCGGCTCATGATATAGCCCCTAAAAATATAGTCATATTTGTGTAACTGTATATATAGATAATAACGACACCAATATTTCACACCTTCAACAGTGGTGAAAGCTGTTTTAATTCATACCCAACCCAAGTTGGAAACCCAGCAAAGAGCATGGTTTTATTAAGTACTTCAGCTTTTTATTAAATTTTTTCTTCAATCATTTTTTATACACAGAAAATAAATGACATTTTGGAGATGCCTAAACTTTTTTTTTAAGGTTATAAAAAGTTTCATTTTTTAATATTATGCACGCGCAAATAAAATCAATAATTTTTTTTTTTTTTTTTTTTTGAGCTATCATACATAGGGGAGACGATGGTGGAAGCGGACATGGAGGGAATTATTTTTTATGCCCAGACTTTGGTGAAGCGTTTTCGTGAAGTACTGTTTATGCGTACTCCAGATCAATGTAATGGTGCAGCTTTGCTAGGTTTGGTTTCAGAGTGGGTTGGGCCCACTATTGGACCAAGTTGGACCAAAATACCTCTTCAATTATTTATTTTTTTGAAGATCTTGTCTATTAAGATGGGAGATAACATGTTAATCTCGGTTGGAACAATTTTTTCTATTGCTAAAACTATGGGATTTAGGAATATTTGGCCAAAATATCACTAATATCAATAATATCAAGATGATGAAGGCAATGAAAAATTTGAAGAGTTATTTACTTTAACACCCCCTGAGATTTCTCGGGTTTTCACAAAATCCTCTCAGGTCTAAAAAATTACACGAACACCCCTTGAAGTTTCAGTTCGTTTTCACAAAACCCTTTTTCGTTGATTGTTTGTCCAAAAATTAATGATTTTATTGAAAAAATATATATATGCAAATGACAAAATTAACCTCAATGAAGTATATGCAACCTAATCTCAAAAGCCAACTTTGTCATTTGGAGAATTGTTTTGTGTAAAATCATCAATCTTTGGATGAAAAATCAATGAAAATGAGTTTTGTGAAAACAATTTAAAACTTCAGGGGGTGTTCTTATCATTTCTAAAACCTCAAAGAGTTTTGTGAAAAAGCCGAAAACCTTAGGAGGTATTAGTGTAAATAACTCAAATTTGAACCTTATAAGAACTCTATGTGGTACTAAGTTACTCATGTATCTT